AAAAACAAAAAAAAGGCCCGAACCGGGCCCGCCCAGGGCTGGTTCCGAAGAAGGGGCTGAACCAGGACCGCCCCGCCTTAACCTCTGGGACCGGCTCTGAGCTCGGATTCAAAACCGGTACACTGGGCTGGGCCGGGCCCGCACAGTACCAGGCCGGGTGGCCCGAATCGGGTCCAACACTAATAATCCCCCACTTTTTAAATGGAAACTAATAATCCAACCAATTAACGGTCTTCTCACAATAGTCCAACCTTTTCGTTATTCAGGAATAATCCAACCTTTGTACCCCATCTTCATTCGCTGGTCCTTGATCGATTGATGACCTGATATTCCAAGTTATTCTCTTATCTTTGTTAAACATTATGTGACCATAATGTGAGATTTATGGTATAATATATAATAAAGATAAGAAAATAATTTGGAATAGCAAGTTATTAACCGGTCAGAGACCAGCGAATGAAGATGAAGTGCAAAGGTTGGATTTAGGACTGGATTCGGGCCGGTTCGGGTCCGGGCTGGGCCTAGGCTCAGGCGGGCCGCCGGTTCTGAATAGTTGGGCTCCGGACCGGCCGGGCCGGGCTTCCTTTTCACTGACCCGAGCCCGCCCCGCCTTTTCTAGCTAACCGGGCCTTAGACCGGTTTGGGGCCCGCAACATCTGGTTGGTTCAGTCCCGCACAGTAGCGGGCCGGGCCGGGTGGCCCGAACCGAGTCCAGGACTAGTTGGATTATTCCTGAATAATTAAAAGATGAGACTATTGTAAGAACACCGCTAAAAGGTTGGAGTAATAGTTTTCATTTTCCCTTTGTACTATTAATATTAAATAGTAGATTTTCAACTCTATTTATAAATTGTTGGGGAATACAAACCCGACTTTTTACAAAATCACGAGTTCATAGAATTGATGTATATACATGACACTTTTAACACCAAGATTGAATTTGACAATGGCTTTGAATAAATTTTCTGGAAGGAATAACTCACACTTCACTCTTTGTATTTGATACTATCTCATTCACTTACATTTATGAGAATTTTTTTGGATTCCCTTTCTCTCACCTCAAGTATCTCTCTAACTAGCATTTATGAGAAATCTTTTTTGACTGTCTTCTTTAACTCACGAGGATGCTCTTGACTCATGAAACATTATTTTTTTCTATTTTCAAGAAATCTTTTTTTCTTTTTTTCAAGAAAATAGCAATAAACTAGTTTTCTCAAGAACTATACTTTTTATTCCCCTCTACATTTCTAGTCTTCCAAGACGTGCAAGATTCAAGCCATTCAATAGAATATAGAGAATTTTACATTTATTTAAAATGTTCTAAATGCTTCTACACACTTCTACCTAAGCTTAAAAAGTTAAAATATTTTACATTCTAAATTAAGTCCGCAATATTCTAGAGTCTATGAACTTCGAACTTCATTAAGGAGGCTCTCATTCTCGGGGACCCAAGTACCCAACATAAACCAATAGGGAGCATTGGACTACCGGTAGAACTTTTAGCCGTTGCGAGGCCGGACTGGCGGAAAATTAAACCAAAAACTAGTTAAAAGTGAGCCACTGGCATTAATCTCCCACCCTCGCGACTAATCTTGGCATGGATTGGAACTAAAGAAATAAGCAAAAATATAATTTAAAAAAGTTGTAATAACTGCAATAACCAATAAAATAAAATGTTAAATTGTACCCAAATCAAGTGGTTAAATACTTCAAAATAAGTAAACACAGGACTGGAATGTGTGTGATAGATACAAAAAAGAATAGGCGTGGTTTAGCTAGAGCTATTAACTTATACTACCACTACTGGCAAAGGTAATAATAGATTCAAAATAAGATGAGAAGACAGGAAGCTGCAAAGTAAAGAGAGCTGCTTCCCTTTTTTTAGTTACGGAGTATAAATAACAGTAAACTCCAATTAGTTAGTTGTTGATAGTTCGGAATGGCAATCTCTCTTTAGGCATTATAGAAGCTTCACCAATCTTAGTGGGAGAAAGTCTCTGAGTGTTTTCTTTTGTGGGATGATCATCAACCCATTCATCGAATCCTCCTCTGCTGCTGTTCTTCTCTACAATTCTTTCCAGTTTCTTACCCAGCTGTAGATCTTCCATCCACATTTGGCTCATCTTGTCTGACACCCCCACAAGCTTTGACCTCAAGCTCCCGCAAACATCGAAATTGCTTTCGAGGTCTGAAGCGATTCCATCATTTTTCTCTTTCGACACCACTGTCTCTTTGACTGTCGTCTCCAGTATATCCACAAGTCTGCTCGAGAAGCTGCTGGTTGAATTTTGGAACTCCATTTCCAGTGTCCTCACAAGTTTCTGGAGATCATCTATTCTTCTGCAGTTCATCTCTTCTTCAACTTGTGTTAAGATAGCCTTTTCGAGTTCTTTCCTCAACCAGTCTTCTTCGAACCACTCGAATGTTTCCTGAAACGCCCTTTTCTTTATCTTCTCTTTGAGCTCATTTACTTCCTCTTCTTTCTCTGCTAGAATCTGGATGAGGCTTTCTCTGTCCCTTCTCAGTTCAATCTCAACATCCACCTGATCAAACAGTGATGCTTCCACTTCTTTCCGCATTTGGTGGTTTTCATCCAGACTGGATTTTAGCCGTTCCGCTAAAGATCTCCATATCTGCAACTCAAACTCAATTTCCTTTGACTTGTAGAAGTTTTCCTCAAGTTCTTCGTTTGCTTGTTTAAGCTCACTATTTGCTTCTTGCAGTTCACTTTTTGTTATAACCAACTGCTCCATTGCTTCTTTGAGTGTTTCCTTGAGTATATCGGCCTGTATCTGTAATAGAATCTTTTGTTCTTCGATTGAATTCACAAAAGAATGGGAAGCTTGTAACTCGTCATGAAGCATGGTTATTATATTGTCTTTGCTATTTAACTTAGAAGCCCATTCAGCTTCTTTGGCCTTGAATTTGTTTTTGAGCTTAGATGATGAAGAATATATTCCAGCTTCTTTGATTCCAGCTTCTTGGAGTTCTTTAAGAGATGCCATCAGCTCTTGATTCTCTCGTTCTAGCTTTCTGGATTTGTAATCCATTTCTTTGTATATTTTATCCTTTTGACTTGAGGCTTCTCTTAGCTTTTCAATTACTTTATCCCTTTCATTGGTCAAGCTGATAATTCTTGACTTGGCTTCCTCATATTCTGCAGAAACATTGTCCAACCAGGTTTTAGATTCTGAAAGTTGAACTTCCATAGATTTTCTCTTGTTTTCCTCACTATCAAGAGCTTGTTTGCAGAAATTGAGTCTGTTTTGAAGGTCTTCTGAACATCTTGACTGGGAGTCTAAGTTTACTTGCAAAGTCGAGATCTCCTCACACAATGTGTCTTTCTCCTGTTTCCATTCTTTCTCCTTTTGATGGAATTGTTTCTTAACCTTTTCATGAGCCTGAATTAGGAGGTCGTATTTTTCCTTCTTCCATTTTAGCTCTTCTTCAAGCTTCATATTCTCCTGCTCTAGCTTCAACATCACATCATCTTTTTCTCTGAGTTCATTATAGACTTTTTTACATTTCTTGACTTCAGAAGAAGTTTTCTGCGCAGAAGCCGTTGCCAATTCCCTCAGCCTTTCAATTTCATCTCGGAAAGACTCAATTTTTTGTTCTTGATCCATATTTCGTGCATTTGCCTCATCTAAAGCCATTGATATACTCGTGTTGGCTTCTTCAAGTTCCTTGAGCTTCTGGGCAGAGTCAGTGCGAAGCCTATCATTGGCTAGACTTAGATGTGTTATGGCAGCTTCTTTCTCTTTGACATTTGACTTCAGCTCTTCATATCTTTGGTTTGATAGAGAGAGTTCTTCTACTTTCGTATTGAACAACAGTGTGATCTTAGCCAGTTCAGAACTTAAAGTCTGAGACTTGATTAGTTGCTCATTATAAGCTCTTTTGAAACTCTCACATGATTCTGCTTTGATTTTATTCTCTGTTTTGAGCTTCTCAATTTCAGCAAAGGCTTCATCTAGTTGCTCATGCAATGCACCCATTCCTCGTACTCCGTATATATTAAGAATATACAGTAATTTATCTTTAAATTTACACCCCACCTGCTCAAATACAAGTAAAATATAGTCAAGAAACATTAACCAGGTAGACTACATAAAATAGGTGAAAGTGATGTTAAAATATAACACATTTTTCACAATAAGACCATCCTCTTGTTTTGTGTCAGAAGTACTCTATAGTTCTTCCTCACGTTTTTCTCGGGTTTCCAAAATTCTTCATATTTCCATGATTTTTCTTCCGAACTGTTTATTCCTTGTTCACCACTTCACTCTAATCACCTTGGATGGCGCACATTCATATTGGTGCTTAACCAAATGAGGAAGAACAAATGTAGACCGGGAGTAGTTAATGTGAAGAAATTTGTTAAATCTGAGACCTAATTTGAAACATTTCTTATCTATCAATTATGAATACGCTTATTCTAGTATTTATCTACGGAACATGAAATCTTTCTCATAACCATTTCAGCACTGGAAGAATTAAAGATAACCCGACAGTTAATTTAACTACACAGAAGAAACTGCATGTTTATAAGCTGTAAGTTGATATAATCCAGAAACCTATATTTAACATCAACCTGAACAAGTTATTTATGTCATTATGCAATAACCCCGACTTAATGCAATATGGACCAAATTTCTACATTTTCTCTGCGGCCATAAGCATTGTTACAAAATAAGAAGAAGAGTACCTGAAGAAGGTTCGAATCGGGTTTTCTTTTGCAACAGAAATGATTTGTTTGGAACTCCAGAGAGCTTTGAGAGCTTCGAAGGAATGAAGGAAACGGTTTGGTGGTTTCAGAAGTGGAGATCAGATAGATAGCCGTTGTAAAGCCGTTAGACGAAGTTTTAAATTTCCCTCAGGAAGGAAAAAGTCATTATGGCCGTTTTACGTCATACGGGCCGCGGATATTCAGTGCTGGGCTTTATGGACTCACCGAAGGCCCAAATTTAATTTACCGTATGTTTTTGGGTTTCGGCCTCATCCCGAACCCAAAAACCCTCCTTCAATTTCATTCTCTGTAGGCGGTACTGAAGCAAACCTTCTGGTAAAAATGGCAATCGCTGCGGCCTCCGCCGCTACCAGATCGATTTTCCGGTCGTCTGTTGCTCGTAGCGCTGCCGCAAGGATTGCGTCAGAGTCCAAAGCTGCTCGAGCCCCTTTTCGCATCGCTTCCAGAAGTAATCTAGCACCACGCATCTTCAGGTACTGTTCATTGTCAAATTTGCAGATGATTATGTGAGTTTTAGATATGAAGATTTTACTAGTAGTTACTTTGTTTATGAAGGTGCCCAGCTGAGTTGAGCGCCTGTGTGTCGTTGCAGCCTTATCACACGGCTACTGCCTCGGCTTTGATGACCTCAATGCTTACAGTTGCTCCCCGCAGCTTTGGTTGGCTTTCCGAAGGTTAATATTCTAAGGTTTTGCATTGGCTTATTATATAGTTTGGCTTTTCAAGATTAGTTTCTTTGCTTGCAAGCTGAATGGATTCAATCTTCTTGTTCTGTGTATGATTTGAACAATGTTGGTTCTGTCTCTCTGTACTTGGGACATGTTAGTCTAAAATATAGTGTTTTTATTGTTAAAAAATATATTTTGGCGAAAACACAATTTTGGAGAGTGAACGTAGATCATTGGCTTCCATTGTAATATAACAATCTTAATCTAAAACCCAGACTGTAACTTAAGTGGTTTGATTTAAAGAATGTTCAGTGTCTTCATAAGTTTTCTTAGTCTATTTTCATAGCTACAGTAAATTTGAATGTTTTAATTTTTTGAGAGTAAATTGTGATCCCAGTGTTCACCACATCTAGTTCAAAAACATTTGTAAGTTAAAATGTTTTCACTTTCTCCGTTTGTTTGCCAAGGATTGTGAGTTCTCTCTACTTTTCTTTACTATTAGTAAGTCAATTCCTCAGTTTTCTTCAGTACAAAATGTAATCCATCTTCCTGAGTCTTTCAGTTTTTAATTTCATCAACCATGTCCCATGGAGTATATTTTATTTAACCTCATTTTACATAAGTATAAGTTTTTTTTCAGCATTCGCTCTGCACAAAAGATTAGTGAACATGTGTCTTCCTATCCTGCTTAGTTATACAGTATCATAAACTTTATCTAACTGGGCCGCCTAACGTCTGGGTTTTCCTTCTTGATTTAGGTATCTAGCAACACCTCTAGGGTCTACCTTTTCCTCATTAAACAATTTTTGGTAAGTCAAGTTTTCTCAGATTTTATTTTCCCTCTATGGGTTTCATAGGTCTGTGCGCTTGATGTTACATTCTTCATTTTATGAATGGGAAGTTGGGAACCTTTTATTGCCACATGATTAAAATAAGCCAAGCCCCAAAACTGTACTTATAGAATAGTGCAATGTTACTATTTGTTTCCTTAATAGGTGATGCATGCATTTTTTCCTAATGTAGGGGTTGACAAGACTAGATGAAGAGGGACAAGCAAAGAGGAATGACCTGGATTTCTTTTTGTTTCAAAGCTTCACATTTTAGTAGAAAATGATGTTTTTAGATGTTGGACTTGTTCCAAGAAACTGGAATTTGTGTAGATTATTAAAAAAATTAATTCTGATTTATTATCTCGCGTGGTATAAGACTAGATTATATTTATGGTGTTTAATTGTCATTCAACCTAAACATATTGGGAGTTTGTTGAGATTTGTTTGTGTTGAGATTTAAGGTGTCATGCAAGATATAAGAATTTCAAACTAAGACAGTCAAGTACCAACTCACACTTTTCTTTATTTAATCAGCTGTCAATGATGACGTGTGATGAATTTTTGGAGGGCTTTTGAGGTAATGAGCAAAATTTTCACTCTAAACTATCTGCAGATGGTTGTGCCCGATCTTCAAAATTGATGTACCACCAAGTTGCAACATTGTTGAGTTCATTATTCATTTTATTGGAAATAAGTGTTGATGAGTCTGTCATTTATATTGCTATAATGGTTCATACTAGTAGGAATAGTGGAATACATACATTGTGCTGATTTTCTTCTTCTTTTGAAATATATCAGCCTGCAGTGATGATGATGTATGATCCATATGTTGTGTGCAAGTTTCCTGCGAGGGTGCTATCACAGCTTGTCAAAGTCAAACAAATCACTTCCTCTCTCTCTCTTTTTGTTAACCTTTTCTCCTATGGCTATGGTGAAGAAGTGTGTATTTCAGTCTAGATAATGATTTGGTGTATCAAATTTGCTTCTTTTTGGTAGAAGGAACATGGATATATTTTTTATAAATGTAAGAAGCAAATTACATCTGAATTCCTCTCTGCAGAAATAGAGTTATTTATGAGCTTCACTTAATGCAAGCAAATTTGTTCTTGATTTTCATGTTCTTGTGCCTCTTGTTCTACAACTTCAACCTTTTCTCCCGAATGAATTGTATTGTATCTGATCACTACCGGGCATATGAATGCTGCAAAACCATACAACTGATTATTTCAGTTTTCATTGTGCATTTTCCAAAAATGTACAAATCTACAAACCGAACTAACCAAAATGACCAGAATTGACTTAAGGTGAGACAGTGAGACTACCTGCAAGCACACCAGGCTTCTATCACCCACCATCTAATGCACTTTCCTGATTTCCTTACACCCATCAAAATATAACTACAAACAAAAGCGTGGGAAGTGGTAGAGTTAGAGATCATACCTTTTCTACGTATTTGGGGAGAGTAAGCTGAATATAATCTCGGAGCAGTGAAGCTAATGAAAAACCCTGGTGAAATGTATATAAGTTTATAATTTTGCTATCGTATATATAAGTGGTCGCACGGCGGACTGACAGTAAATTTCCTCTATATATATATATATGTACTGAGCATGTGTCTGGATGATTTGAGTGAGCCTTGCCAACTGCACAAAGCCTCCATAGACTTAGGAGATGTCCATATTCAGCTCCAACCATAAGGAATGGCAGTACCTAAATTGACAATAGAGGGGTCACAACCCTGGTGAGACATACCCCATAAAGAAAACCATACTTTTTTTTGAAAGAAGAAAACCATACTTATATCTTAGGAACTATACATATACACACATACACATATAATGTCATTTATCATTTCAATTATTAACAAATAACCAATAATATCCGTTTCAACACTAAATACAGTAAATTATTACGTTAATGACATTTAATCTTATTAGTAATACACAATTAACAATTCACAAAATATAAGTAATGTTTTAATCCAAACTGAATTTAAATAATTCATTTCGTTAATTAAATAACAACCCTTTTTAAACGCATTTCAATTCATTAATATTTAAATTTAACGAATAATATCAAAAGTTTAACTAATTTAACTTAATTAGCTAAACGTACGTTTTAGCTAACTAATTTCACTTAATTAACACATCACTACGTTTAAACCTACGTTACGTAATTTGACTTACCACATCACTACGTTTAGCTAACTAATTTTAATTAAATTATTTTATAAACCTAAAAATTTAACTAATTTTATGACATCACTACGTTTGTAGTTAAATATTTTGTTAATTAATTAACAACCTCACTAATTTAATAGTGTTAATAATTTAAATTGAACCAACTAATTCTAAATAAAAGTAATAATTTAAATAACATACCTTGTTTGTGTAAACAGGGATAATGACATATGATAGACTACATCCTTCGATCTTTCAAATAGCTACTGTATTATATACTGGGAATGAATTGGTGGAGTTCTGTTGAATGAGCTGCTCCTGCATATATAAAAAAATTAGTCACGGACTTAGTCACGGATTTGTCCGTCACTACGCAAAACCGTGTACATTATGCGTCCAAACCGTGTAAATGACGTGTAAAGTACGTGTGCGAATAATTTTATTAAATTTAGTCACAGAATTAGTCACGGACATTTCCGTGACTAAATTTATCCGTATAGATTACCGTTGGGAATTAATTTCTGAGCGCTGGAAAATTAAATTTTTTAGTAGACACGGATTTAGTCACGGATTTGTCCGTGAATAAGTCGCCGGTGTAAAACAAACCCCGCCGGAAACGGAATCGGAGCTATCGGACCATTTTAGTCACGGATCTGACCGTGACTAAACTTAGTCACCGTCATAGTCACGGCCGGATCCGTGACTAATTTATTTTTTAAATATCCGTGACTAGTCCGTGACAAAACTAGTCACGGACCAAATCCGTGACTAAAATCCGTTACTATAACGCTGTTTTTTGTAGTGATGTATGTATGTATGCATGCATGCATGCATGCATGTATACTTACTTACAGGGCCGTCTAATAAATTTGGATGCCCGATTCAAAATGAAGAATTGAGGCCCCCTAAAGCAAGAAAATATACAAAATTTAACATTACAAATTACAATATACATAGACTAGAGTATTTGGTGTTTTATAATGTTTTAAGTACACATTATATAGTTATAGACCTTTTGAAATCTGAAATAGTACATAATATTCAAAAAATCAACCTATAACTACTAGTACCTACTAAATTTTTGGGAGACCACTATAAGAGTGGGCCCCGATGCGAAGCACCTATTGCTCCTCCTAAAAGAAGACTTGCTTACTTACATTCTTAAAACGTCTACACATATGCTCTAACTAATATTTTAGAACTCTTTAAAACATCTGCTCAAACACCACTCTATGTTAAGAAAAAAGAAAAAAACTCTTGGAACATGACACAGTGAGGGAAGAAAAATACTTTAAAGTTAAAGTAATACGTAGTACAAATTCTAAAAGTATTACTTACTATTCAGTAATCAACACTATTCACTTTTGATCCTAAGTTTATGTATCCAATCTTTTATTAAATTTGAATATAAACTTCGTGATTTGATAGAAATTTTAATGAAATTTCTGAATTTGTAAATCTAAAATTCCTACTGTCATGGAGTATTTATGAGATTATCATAAGTCAACCCTCAAAATCCAGTGTTACTTCTATCATGATAGTGTTACTTCTATAGATCATGGGTAATTGGATTTGCACCAATGGAAACCATAAACTTTGTACCCAAAATAGGACTTTATAGAGTTTTTGAAAGAAGGGAGGACGTACATTTTAGTCAAGGAGAAAGTAAAATGATATATGTACATACTGCAGAAAGACTAGAACATTTACTTTAAGGGTCATCGCTGGCTCTTCAGAAAACAAATCTCCTGTTTTTGAAATTGCAAGATTTACTGCTTTTCCCTCATTAAACAATTTTTGGTAAGTGAAGTTTTTTCTTAGATTTTTTTGCCCTCTATGGGTTTCTTAGGTCTTTGTGCTTGGGCAACATTCTTCGTCTTATGAATGGGCACCTTTTATAGCCACATGGTTAAGACAAGCCAAGCCCCAATACTGTACATTTAAAATAGTGCAATCTTACTATTTGTTTCCTTAATAGGTGATGCATGCATTTTTTCCTAATGTAGGGGTTGACAAGACTAGATGAAGAGGGACAAGTAAAGAGGAATGACCTGGATTTCTTTTTATCTCAAAGCTTCACATTTTAGTAGAAAAATGATGTTTTTAGATGTTGGACTTATTTGAAGAAACTGGAATTTGGGTAGATTTTTTAAAAAATAATAATTCTAATGTTCCGTTTGTCTTCTGAGTTATTTATATCTCGCGTGGTATAAGACTATATTATATTAATTGTGTTTAATTGTCATTCAACCCAAACATATTGGAAGTTTGTTGAGATTTAAGTTGTCATGCAATATATAAGAATATCAAACTAACACAGTCAAGTACCAACCAACTCACACCTTTCTTTATTTAATCAGCTGTCAATGATGACGTGTGATGATTTTTTGGAGGGCCTTTGAGATAATTAGCAAAATTTCCACTCTAAACTATCTGCAGATGGTTGCTCTGGATTTGCTTTACTTGTGCCCAATCTTCAAAATTGCAGTAGTGCTTGTGTATCACCAAATTGCAATATTTTGGAATTCATTCATTATTCATTTTATATTGCAAATGAGTGTTGATGAGTCTGTCATTTATTTTAATGCTAATTATTACTAATGATATTATACTAGTAGGAATACAGACATTTGTGCTGATTTTCTTCTCCTTTTGAAATACATCAGCCTGCAGTTATGATGTATGATCCACATGTTGTGTGCAAGTTTCCTGCGAGGTGCTGTCACAGATTGCCAAAGTCAAACAAATCACTCCCTTTCTCTCTCATTTTGTTAACCTCTTTTTCCAATGGCTATGGTGAAGAAGTGTGTATTTCAGTCTAGATAATGATTTGGTGTATCAAATTTGCTTCTTTTGTGGTAGAAGAAAACATGGATATATTTTCATAAATGTAAGAAGCAAATTACAATCGAATTCCTCTGCAAAAATAGAGTTATTTATGGTCTTCACACTTTATGCAATCAATCAACTCCTTCTGATCATTCTCTTGTTCTTGATCGTTATGTTCTTGTGCCTCTTCTACAACTTCTTCAACCTTTTCTCCAGAATAAATTGTATAGTATCTGATCATTGCAAGGCATATGAATGCTGCGAAACCATACAAGAATATTTCAGTTTTCATTGCGCATTAAAAAAATGTATCAATCTAAAACTGAACTGATCAAAACCGACTTAAGGTGAAAACTACCTGCAAAAATGCGGGTGCGGGCAGTTGTGAGGTTCCAAAAGGCTGAAAATACTGATAGTGCTATGATCTTTTTGTGAGAACAAGCACACCAGGATTCCATCACCCAACATCTAATGCACTCTCCTGATTTCCTTACACATAAAAAAATAAGTATATAACTATATACAAAAGCGTGGGCAGTGGTAAAGAGTTTAGAGATTGTACCTTTTCTTCGTATTTGGGTAGAGTAAGATGAATATAATCTTGGAGCAGTGAAGCTAATGAAAAACCCTGGTGAAATGTATATATAGCGTTTATTTTTCTATCGTCTAATATATATGTACGGAGCATGTGTTTGGATGGGTTGAATGAATCCTTACCAAGTGCACAAAGCCTCCATAGAGTTAGGAAATGTCCATATTCAGCTCCTACTATCAGGAATGGGACTACCTAAATTGAAAATAGAGGGATTACAGGTCTGGTGATATACTTCTGAAAGACTGAAATGTATACAGTATACCCCCATACAGAAAACCATACTTATGAAGTATATCTTAAAGACCTATATATATAATATTTAAAAACATACATACACACACACATAGAGAGAGAAATGATCCCGTTGGTTCGCACTGAAGGAAACCGCCATCCGGTGAAGCCCGTTTGAGGGTCTTCTGAGTCATTTTTTTGATGAAATTTTGTGGTCATGCTTTACTCTCTCTCTCTATTCATAAGACAACCACATACGTAGTATATGTTATAACTAATTTTTTAGAACATGGTGAGTGAGGGAAGAAGAATTTCTAAGATATCTGCTATAACACCACTCTATGTTAAGAAAAAAAAGAAAACAATTTCAGGACATGATAAGTAAGCGAAGAAGAATACTTTAAAGTTAAAGTAATACAGCTTTTATAAGTATTAGTGTATTACTACCTCTGAACCACAATAGAAGTATAGATTGTTTACTATTCACTGATCAACACTATGCACTTTTGATCCTAGTTTTATGTATTTAATCTCGGTGATTTGATACGACTTTTAATGAAATTTCGGAATTTGTATTTTTAAAATTCCGATTCTCATAACCTCGCAATCCAGCGTTACTTTCAGTTTAGGGGCAGAGGAAGTACATTTTAGTCATGGAGAAAGTAAAATGAGTTATCTACATACTGCAGAAAGAGAAACTAGAATACTTACTTTAAGGGTCATGGCTGGCTCTCCAGAAAACACATCTCCTGTTTTTGAAATTGCAAGATTTACTGCTGGGAGAATGAATTTACCCATCCTCAAAATGTCATCTTCTGTCAGCTTCATTTCAGTCTTAGTTTCAACAATTTCTCTGGCAGTTCATGATGGAAAAATGGAATGAAGCAGATAAAAAGCATGAATAGTAAATTTGGAATAGGGTAAAAGAAAAAAAGGAAACGGAAGTCTGTCTAACCTTGGCCGGAGAGTATTCAAGATGAATGACACAGCCAGAAAGAAAAGCCCCATTTGAGACATAACTGAGAAAATGCTGCAAACAGACAATATTAACAGAGAATCAATGGGAAATGCAATCTCAAGATTCAAGAATAAAGGAAAATGGGTGGTTTTTAAGCAGAAAAATTAATGAAAGCATAAATAAGCACCTAAAGTTAATTCCACTTGCAAAACAGGAAGATAAGAAGCAGAGAGACCCAAAACCAAACCAAAGACTTGATTTTGCAACATCTCTCCACATCAAAACATCACTTATCAGCTTCCCATACCTGTCCAGATTAACCCCTTCTTCTTCTCCTTTAATAAAAAAGTTTCATGAATCAATTAGTTTGACACTATAACCAAGAACCATTTGAATAGGATATACAACAAGGTCCAACTTACTTGGAGAAGGCACTGAAGGAACTAAGGCAAGCATATCTTTCTTTGATCTGGAAATTTGCCTCTTCTTTCTAGGCTTAATAATCACCTCCTCTCCTACCCCAGAATCTTTTTCGTCTCTCGCCATTTCCTGATCTAATCGCTTTCTGGGCCTTCTGGCATTCCTCGGAGAGGCACAAACTGAAGAAACATTCTTGCTCCTGCGTCCCCTGCGAACCGCTACAACTGGTTCTGCACAATTGTCACCCATTTCACGATTCTCTGGTAATGGTTCTTGGTTTGGGGCGGAAGGGGATACTTCAGCAGCAACATAGACTCGACGAAATTTAGAGCGCCTTGAAGACGATTTTGTTCGATTTCTGGGTTCAGGCGGATGAGAAAGCGGGGTGGAGACTGTTGAGTCCATGAGCGCAGAGCGCGGCTGGTTGCTGTTATTGGATTTCCAGATGCGCAGATTTTTTAAGGGGATGGATACTAGAATGATGAAGCGCTGATATAGAAAAGAGCCGTTGGAGTTGATTTAAGTTTTGGGATTGGCAAGATCGGCTAAAGAAAAAAAATACTAGCTATTTAAGTTTCTACTTTTTTTTGGATGATCCATATTAAAGTTACTATTTTAAACTTTTCCTTATTTGGCAAATGATTTACATCAAAACAGTTCCAAACAGTGGTGTCAAACAATGTCAAACAGTGTTCAAACAGTGCACTCCACAGTAAAGTCAAATTTATTTCTTAATATGTGTGAAGTCAAACAGGGAACTTAATTAAGAATCGGAGGGAGTAGGATTTAATTCACAAAATGTATTGTCATATACTCACTCCTTTCTTTAATATTAGTCCTCTTCGGCTTTGGCACGGATTTTAAGAGAAAAATAATAGGGGTAATGTAAAAGGTGTAGTGGATAGTGGGTAAATGAAAAAGTAGAAAAGAGAAAGAGGTAATGACAATAAAAATGGGGAAAAAGTATATTGATTGTAAAAACATTCCGAAAGGATGACAGATAAAAAACACAGCTCAAAATGGAATGAAGGACTATAAAAAAGAACGGAGGGAGTATGATATAATAATATATATACCATCTATGAGTCAAATCTTATTATTGCTGGTTGGAAAATTTACTTGCATCAGTTACAATGAGTCAAATCTTATTAATGGAGAAAACCTCATTCGTTTTCACGCTTCGGATCTGATGTCAAATGTTTGTCTTGTTTCCAACAATCAATCGTTGAATAGATAACATTAGAGGAGAGATTAACTTATTCAATACCAGAAATTGATTTGACAATACTGCGCAAGATATGAATGTAAAATGCCTATGTGAATATTAGAGATGTGAATGATTTGCATAAGAAAACAGCCCGAGTAAAATAATTAAACTAATTTAACACAAATACAAATAAATAGAACATGATTAGACACCATAAAATATTCTCTAACATTTATCACATTAACACCATTTTTTATTTAATCCAAATCATATATAGGGTGCAGAACAAATGAAAAGGAGTCTTAACTCGTGTCCCGGACCTAATCCAGCCGTTCTTGGGCCTTGGGCTAAAAAGACCCATCGAAACGTGATCTGGTCCATTACTTCATCAATTGCACATTTTTGTGATTGCAACAATGTTCGCTTATTTATGAATCTTTCACAAATCTATCACACAAATATCATTTTCATTTATCACATTGACATTTTTTATTTGATCCAAATCAAATAAATAGGATGCAGATCAAATGAAAGGAGGTCCTAACATGTAACATGCGATATATTCATTTCTATAGCGCTACAATGCACTTTTCTATTCATGTATCCCACTCATGCAAGTTTGCAAAAAAGTTTGCTTATTTACGAAATTGTCATTGCGAGTTTTAAAAAGTTTATATTGTAATACTTAAAGTGAAGCAGAAATGATTATAAATGCATTTCACACTTTTGACATGTTAAATTAAAGAACATTTTGTTTATTTAATCTATACTATATACGGATTACGGAGTACATATCATATTGATGTTTTGGGACATTTTTTGTTTCCTTCGTCTATGAAGAAAGGATGTTACTTTTTTAAATATTCTTAAAACGTGTAAATAAACATGTGAAACACTTTTTGACATGCACGGGACTTGATGAAATGAATCTGAGTTTTTATCAACATTTTTGAGATATAGCTGGAGGCATAAGTAGTTCGGCAATTTGTATCCCTACAAAAAATTAAGTTATTTATCTTTACAATGTATGAGGGAAATGAAATAAACTGTGAAGAAGCTAAGGTTCGAATTTGGCGATTTAGAGCCCGTTTGGTAGCACCAAAATCGGCTGTTTTGGCTGATTCTGCTGAAATTTATGATATTCTGGCTGGAGTGGCTGTTTTGGCTGATTCTGCTGATTTAAGAAAAAAATATTTTAAAAATATATTTTATTAATAAATTAAAGAAAAAATTATATGTAAAAATAGCTAAAATGGTCCTCTACAGTAACTTCAGCCAATACAGCCAGAAAAGTAACTCCAACCTTACTTTTTCGGCTTATTACACAATTCAGCGCGCGAAAGTAAAAGTTACGTGTTTGGTGAAAAAGCTGGCTGATAAGCCTGATAAGCCGAAAACAGAGTTCTCCAAACGGGCTCTTATCTTTACACTATGAGTAGAAGATTGAAACCGATTTTCATTTGTTCTATTGCTGTAGAAAAGCTGCGTCAATTTCAACGTGAGGCACATTTTTTGAAGGATGGTAAAAAACTTAAAATTGCAAAGTGTATGAACTATGAAGATACAAAAAGTGAAAGTTATTTATAACCATATATAATACAGAGTATTATATATGGTTATTGTGCATTAGTGCATAGTAATCATTTTAAAATAATTAATAAAAATGGAATAACGGTTTGTGGTTCACCGAGTCTCATCAATTTTTTATTTATTTACATCACCTTTTATTATAGGTATAACTATTACCGTTAATATTATGAGGTTGAGAAGGTCTTCAATCTATCTAGCACGAAAGACAAGTAGTGACGGGTCTATACTCTATTTGTCATATAGACGGAGTCTATATTTAAGTTTTTAGACAGCGTTGAGATACATATATAGTCTAAGTAAGCAAAAGAAAGAAACTAGTAGAGTGAAGCAAATTCCAAAGTTGTACTCCACATTAATGATGTTTTCTTTTGGACTGAAATTTGCTAGTCTGATTTGGTCTATCTGGTCTAATCTGAAATGGTCTGGTCTCTATGTATTTATAACTACGGAATTATTGTTTGATCTGGTCTAATATGGTCTGGGATTGAAAATAGTCTAAATGAAAAAATCGTAACATAATAATGTCAAAATTTTAAGAAACTGTTGTTGAATAAGGCAGACATGGATTCCGAGAGATAGAATGCCAGTGATAAAGGGAATGTGGAAAAAAAGCCAATCCCCAATTTCTTCCAATAAAGTTACTTATAGCAAATTAACAAAAAATTGTACGGAGTAGTACTTTATACTAATAGCAATACAAATTAGAGTAATGAAGCCTCCTTACAAGTAACACACCTTCTGCATAGAAGACTCACAACCATATAAAGGAATGTATCATATTTTTACTCTGTCACTTCATTGAACAACCTTCAAATTGAACAACACATTCATCAAACTCAATGCTTGCAGAACTTACACCAATATTAATCTTGCTGATGCATTGCAGGCTTGCAGCCTCCGGTTGGACAAAGTAAGGTCTACGTCAATCTCAAGAAATGAATCGGAAGGAACGATGACAACGGACCGTGAGAGTGGAATCACACCATCACGATCAAGTTGTGTCGGATCCTCCCCAATTCTATTGAAAAGGGTAGTTCTATACCAATCTTTGTCATACTGTGACAAGTACTCAAAGTCAGCTATTTTCAGCACAAAGACTCCCATACACCGTTGAAGGCGCAACATCGGTATCTACCCTTCTCTTCTGATGTTTATAGATGACCCTCAAATTAGTCTGCACAGCATTTGAAAATATGGTATAATGTAAAGCTGCAAAACCATATTCACCTTGAATAACCGGGCATAAGCCTTGATCGTGATATCAAGAATAGTTTAGAATTTCAGCACTAAACTTAACATATCCCTTGATTTCTAAGGGAGGACAACACGTAACATCATTTTCATCTTTTTTGAAGACGTCGAACTCATCATAGCCGCCGCATGACACTTTTATTGAGCCACATATGTTCACTTGTTTCCACTTCTCCCGACCAATGAGAACAGTGAACACCACTATTGCATCTGATGGAAACAGTTTACTCATACGCGGACGAAGAGCCCTGACCGTACCAAACAAACACAATGTAAATGAGGTGAGGAAGAAATGCTGAAAAAGTTTACAAATGGAAATAAGTATCGAACTAAAGAGTTCTTATTTCATATGACTATATGAGGTTAAAGAAGCAAAGTATACTTATCATAGAAGACAATTGATGCAACTTACTTTCAAACTCACTGCTTTCACAGATTTACATTCAAGTATTGCCCTCAAGAAAATACTAATATCGAGTATCCCATATTTAAATTATATGGATTCTAAAGCTTATGCAAATCCATGGAAATCCGAAAAACAGCCATGTGCATTAAAGGAGAAACCAATGGTAGGGAGATTTAATTATTAAAAGCATGAATGCTAAAGATGAGGTCAATATATATTTGGTCTCTACCCCAAAATAGCCCAGAGAGGATATTGAGGAGAAATTATTTGGGGAGGACTGACTATTTGGTAAGTATTTACAAGTCCATTCCTATATTTTAGGATTCCATGAAAAGATTAAAGTGAGTGATTAAGAAAATGAAAAGCGGATCAGTGTTTGAAGCACAAAGACGAAAATGGAAAAAAGATAAGAAGTCTACAACAGATCATATGACCCCCTCTATCCTGGAGAGACTCTCAAAATAACAAATTTTTAAGATGGACTTTTGGTACATTTTAAAAAAAGGAAAGCAAATATATAGTAAGAAGGAATGCAAATACGCCATCATAGAAATGGGTCTCAACAATAAGTTTGAAGAGAAACCTTACATAGTATCTTGGTCGAATTTAGTGGTTAGGAACAAAGACCCTTTTTTCCTCTTGTAGAAGCATTACTTTCTGCTTCATTCTTGAGAGATCCTCTCTTGAGAAATTTGAAGGACATCTTTCTCTCTTCTTCTCCTCTGGTTAGGATTTAGGAACAATAACAAGAGGACATGGCCCCCTTAAGTATGTGCTTACCTCCACCCCTGGGGGTATTTAATACGGAGAACTAATTGCTCAATGTAGAACTGGCAGCTCTAATGACAATATGACATTTTCATGTATTCCAGGGCCAGTTAACTATAAGTTTGAAGAGAAACCTTACATGGTATCCTGGTCAGATTTAGTGGTTAGGAACAAAGACCCCCTTTTCCTCTTCTAGAAGCATTACTTTCTGCTTCATTCTTGAGAGATCCTCTCTTGAAAAATTTGAAGAACATCCCGGCTTTCCAAGCTTTTTCTCCCACTCTGACATATCTTTTTCTAAATTCACATTCCCCAAGACTGCCAGCGTACACCTCAAACTCTTAATATTTTTCATATGCAATTTTGTAACATGCTCATGCCTCAATCTAAACAACTTCTTCTCGGTGAGAATGTAAACAAGCCAATACTTGCTGATATCACTAAAACTCTTTATAAGAGCTCCAGTAAATAATGGAGACGCAATAGAAGCTGTAATGTCAATCGGGCCACAAGCTTTGATGCTAGCATACACATCATCTCCCTCGCTAATCATCCCTCCACCTTCACCCTCAAGGTCCATGGCCATCTCATCGGCATAACTAAATCTCTCAAATCGCCCTTGGGTAGGCACCAGAGTACGCAAGATCAGATTTTGAACTATATACAACCTGACAGCTTCTGCCAGATGCACATAAAATAATTCACCGGCCTCAACTTTAGCTTTCACTAGCTTCTAGGATTGCCTTGATCATGCGAAGAGGGCCAACCTTCTACCAGGGCTCAGTAGTATACTTCCCGTCGTACTCTTGCAGCTCCATAAGTCCTTCTATTACAACGTCATTTTAGCTATCAAGAACTTAACCCACTCATCACCGTATGTTACCTCAACCTCAACCAAAGAACAACCTCTTACCCATTTCAGGTTTTCAATTTCGTCAAACGTAGTCCCGTCCCTGCATCCCATATATTTCAACCAGCAAGAAGTTCAATATACTTTGTGTTAATCCCCCTATCATCATTAATGATCCACTTTTTCAATATATGGGATGCAGGGACTGCGCAAAGTATATTGAACTTCTTTGCTGGTTGAAATATATGGGATGCAGGGACAGGACTGCGTTTGACGAAATTGAAAACCTGAATTGGGTAAGAGACTATCCTTTGGTTGAGGTTGAGGTAGCATACGGTAATGAGTGGGTTAAGTTCTTGATAGCTAAAATGACATTGTATGTAGTGGGCTTTATAACAATGGATGGAGAAAAGTTTCACTTTAAGAGGTCACGTGGATTTCTAATAGGATGACTTGTGGAGTTGCAAGAGTACAACGGGAAGTATAATACTAAGCCCCGAGAGAATGTTGGCCCTCTTCACATGATCAAGGCAATCCAAGAAGCTAGTTGTGTGAGGCCTGTGAAATTTTTTACGTACATCTGGCAGAAGTTGTCAGGTTGTATCCAGTTCGAAATCAGGTGCCTACCCAAGGGCGGTTTGAGATATTTAGTTATGCCGATGAGATGGTTGTGGACCTTGAGGGTGAAGGTGGAAGAATGAGTAGCGAGAGATATAATGTGTATGGTAGCATCAAAGCTTGTGGCCCGATTGACATTACAGCTTCTAGTGCGTCTCCATCATTTACTGGAGCTCTTATAAAGAGTTTTAGTGATATGAGCAAGTATTGGCTTGTTTACATTCTTACCGAGAAGAAGTTGTTTAAAATGAGGCCTGAACATGTTACAAAATTGCATATGAAAAATATTAAGAGTTTGAGGTGTACGCTGGCAGTCTTGAGGAATGTGAATTTGGAAAAAGCTGTGTCAGAGTGGGAGAAAAAGCTTGGAAAGCCAGGATGTCCTTCAAATTTCTCAAGAGAGGATCTTTCAAGAATGAAGAAGAAAGTAATGCTTCTAGAAGAGGAAAATGGGGTCTTTGTTCCTAACCACTAAATCTGACCAGGAAAACTTATAGTTAACTGGCTCTGGAATACATGAAAATGTCATATTGTCATTAGAGCTGCCAATACTACATTGAGCAATTAGTACTTCGTATTAAATACCCCGGAGGTAAGCACATACTTAAGGGGTCATGTCCCCTTGTTATTGTCCCATTGCAGTTTACGATGTTTGACCGACGATTAAGCAAACGGATCCCTGTCCGCACCAAAATTATTTTTAGAAAAAAAAAATACATATTCAGAAACTACATTAAAAGCTTTACAAAGTCGCAAAAACCAGAATTAAATTCGATAAAAATTTGATACAAGTAAGAGATTAAGAGTGATTTGTGTTGACCAAGTGAATAGAAAATAGGACAATAACAAGAAGATGGAGGGAGTATTTTATATTTTAATACACATATTATTTTTGGCCCCCTTACATTAAAGTCTGGCAGCCGTGCATTACTAATTCCTCATCTGTGTCAACATCATTTACATACTTTGGCTTCATTGTCACAATTATCACTTCATGATGGAAAAAATGGAATGAAGCAAATTAAAAGCATGAATAATAAATTTGGAAGAAGGTAAAAATAAAGGAAAGGGAGAAGGTCTATCTAACCTTGGCCGGAGAGTATTCAAGATGAATGACACAGCTAGAAAGAGAAGTCCCATTTGAGACATAACATAGAAAATGCTGCAATCAGACAATATTAACAGAGAATCAATGGGGAAAGCAATCTCAAGAATAAAGGAAAATGGGTATTTTTAAGCAGAAAAAGTAGAAGGCATTAAAATACGCACTTAAAGTTAATTCCACTTGGAGAACAGGAAGATAAGAAGCAGAGAGACCCAAAACCAAACCAAAGACTTGATTTGTGACATCTCTCCACATCAAAACATCACTTATCAGCATTCCATACCTGTCCAGATTAACCCCTTCTTCTCCTTTAATAAAAAAAATTATTAATCAATTAGTTTGACACTTAAACCAAGAACCAATTGAACAGGAGCTTCAGTGTTACGAACTTACAATGAAAAAGAAGGAGCTGGTTTGAGGGAAGACAATTCGAAGAAAAACGATTCTATTAGGAGCATCAGAAACGGGGTTAAGTTACCATGAGTTGGTGTGATGAAATGTACATTGTAACCATGGCCGAAATCACTGTAAAAGCTAATTACCAAAGGCTTATGAAATGAAAGTAGGAAAAATCTCATCAAACGTGATAGTTGATACCCAACTGGTGAAACCCCTTCCGACTTGTCAATGAATCTTTCCGTCTTAAAAGAGGGGGAAGTGAGATATGGTACCTAAGATTACAGATTCTGCTGTGTGGAGAAGAATCTGCTCAGCCAATGAACAAGCTTCTGAACTGTGTGATGTTGATCCCTAAGGTACAGTTTTCTGGCAAGCTGAAGATGATGGTCAATTTACCTTTAAATCTGCATTTGAAGAGGTAAGGGAGTTAGCCTTTAGTTCTGAGAGATATCAACAGATATGGAATACCAAACAAGAGCTAAAGGTCAAATTACTACAATGGAAGATTGCTAAGAGGATTCTACCATCATCTGACAACTTAAATAGATTCAACATGGTTCTGAATCCATCAATTTGCCCACTTTGCAGAAGGCACAGTGATACAATGAAACATTTATTCTTTCAATGTTCTCTGGTAGTCAGAATATGGCAGTACTTTTTAAGTATCTTTGGCATTTTACAAACTCCAGGAATGGACTATGGAAACTTTCGATATTGGAGGAGAGGTAATGAAAGGAAAAGTTCGGTATCCCTTATCAAGCCAAATATCCCCAGTATCATTTGTTGGATTATTTGGAGAGTTTATTCTAATCTTGTCTGGGGATCTGGGGGTAGGATTCCTACTTCGGATAATATTATCCTTCAAATTAAGATGTACATTCAAAATTGGGTAGCGAGCCTATCTACCTACAAGATTCGGTTCATAGGGGATGTTCTTTTTGAGGAAGGCCTTATTCCCAGAAACTTCAGACTCAGGGGTTTTAAGCTACACATCATTCGTTGGAAGAAACCTATAAAGCTTTGGAAGCTGAATGTGGATGTTAGCTACTTACCGGAGAGGGCTTCAGGAGGTGCAATCTTGCGCGACCAGAAGGGCGGCTTTGTTTCTGCGATTAGTTTTCCGGTGCAAGCTCAATCGCCACTTGAAGCTGAGCTGCAGGCGATATTCTCAGCGGTGAAATGGGCTATCGGTGAAGGATACACGTCTTTCCAGGTTAATCGGATTCCATCTCAGCTTTGGATTATCTTGAGGAGAACGAAAGGAGGTGGACGGTTTCACTTCAGGAAATCTCAGAGGTGGCTATTGGGAAACAAGTTAGGGCATGTTTACTTCACCGGTTATTAAACGGTGCTTATTAAGACCCGAGTTAATAAGCGGCGCATAAAATAAACAATGTTGTAAGACCGTGTTTACTTCAAACGGTTTAAAACACCGCTTAACATTAAAATGTCCAAAATAACCCTATACATACATATATATATATATATATATATATATATATATATATATATATATATATATATATATATATATATACACACAAACATTCATGAACACAAGTATATAATATAATATGTGTACTCATACCCCTAACCCCTTACCTACCTTACCCCGACCCCACCCACCGCCTACCCCTACCCTACCTACCTGACCCCACCCTACCGACCCGACCCCACCCGACCCCACCCTAACCTGTCCCCACCCTACCGCAACCCTACCCCCGACCCCATAGGCCCCTACCCCCATAGGCCCTTACCACATCGACCCCACCCCGACCCCACCTTACCCTACCTTACCCCAACCCCGCCCCTACCCCTACCCTACCCATCCCACCCCCTACCCCTACCCCACCCCACCACACCTACCCTGCCCCTAGCGCCTCTATCACATCGGCCCCACCCTGACCCCACCACCCTAGGTATAGTGGGGTAAGGGGTGGGGTAAGGGGTATAGGGTGGGGTGATTGAGGTCAGGTAGTGGTAGGGTGGGTCGGGTAGGTAGGGTAGGGGTGGGGTTGGGTAGGTAGGGTAGTGGTAGGGTGGGTTCGGGTAGGTAGGGTGGGGGTTGAGGCGGGGTAGGGGGTAGGGGTAGGGTCGGATAGGGTAGGGTGGGGTCGGGTATGTGGGTAAGGGGTGGGGTAGGTAGGGTGGGGTCGGGTAGGGTGGGATTGGGTAGGTAGGGTAGTGGTAGGGTGGGGTCGGGTATGTGGGTAAGGGGTGGGGTAGGTAGGGTAAGGTCGGGTAGGGGTGGGATTGGGTAGGTAGGGTAGTGGTAGGGTGGGGTCGGGTAGGGGTAGGATGGGGTAGGGTTGGGTTGGGTCAGGGTAGGGGTAGGGGTAAGGTGGGGTCGGGTAGGAGTAGGGTAGGTGGGGTAAGGGTAGGGTGGGGGTCGGTTAGGTAGGGTAGGGGGTGTCTGGTAATGGGGTAGGGTAGGGGTAAGGTGGGGTACGTGTAGGGTGGGGTCGGACAGGTAAGGTAGGGGTAGGGTGGGGTCGGGGTAGTGGTAGGGGGGGTCGGGTAGGTAGGGGTAGGGTCGGGGTAGGTAAGGGTAGGGTGGGGGTCGGTTAGGTAGGGTAGGGGTGGGGTAAGGGTAGGGTGGGTGGGGGGTGGGGTCGAGGTGGGGCAGGGATAACAATAGGTTAAGGGCAAGGGGTAAATTCGGAAACTGAAAAAGCTTAAAGTGCCGCTTAATTAATACATGGGGGGGTGGTATGCTTAATAAGCGGCACTTTAAGCACCTCTTTCGGTTAGTAAGCGGCTTTTTAAGCAGTGTGCGTGTTTACTTCACCTGTCTTACTAACCTAACTGTGACTTTAGCAGTGAAGTAAACACCTCCTTAATGTTTTTTTGGAAAAAGGGGCAAAACCCCTTGGGAAAAGGTGCCCTTAGAACATTTTTTGTGTGAAGCTTTAAAATGAGGGCAAAAGGTGCAAATACTACTAACAAAAAAAAAGATCAAATAAGCCCTTATTTAGGAGGTTCTGTCCGGCCGTCGTCATTTGGGGTGGTTCCCGGTGGAATTTTTTGATGAAATTTTTTGAGCATCTTATTCGTCAAGTCTAGTTTACTCATACTCCGTATTCTCTTTAATATATAAGGTGTTAGAGACTGTATAACTTAGTTCTATTCGTTTGAGTCCGTTTTTGAAGAGTCGCGAGTTTCCGTACAGTTTTGGGGCCGTACAGATGTGGGCCTCATGCGCGTCTCCTATTATGATTAGGGGTTAGGTTTTACTCTCTATAAATACAAGTTCTCTCCCTTGTAATCACTTGATCCGAAATTAATAACATTCCTGACTTGGTAGCGCCCCCAAACATAGTACTTTGTGGCGAACTGGGTTACCAAATTTCGTGTGTTATTCTTTATTGTTCTTCGTGTTGCGTCAATTAAATCCTGACATAATCTATCATACTTTTAGTTATAATATCAGTTTTAGATTTTGTCAGGACTTATCATAATCTTTTTATTTAATAGGATGCATTAGATCTTTTTTAATCCAGCACTCGAAGTCCTTTTGGGAGGGTATGACAGAATATTTGAGTAAAAATGAGTATGAAACTAATAAATTAATCTAGAGAAAAACTCAAAGCAGTTTAAAATGGTGTAGGGTCACGAGACATCCACTAATTAAAAAATATTTGGGCCTAGCCCAAATGGCGGGCTAGCGCTAACAGGCCAACCAACCCAATTAGGAATCGGGCAACTTGTGGCGATCTGACCCAAGGCAACTTGGGCCTTTGACTGAAAGGCCCATCAATATGTGATCCAGTCCGTTACTCCAAACTCCAATCTGTACATTTTTGTAAATGCAAAAATGATCACTAATTTATGAAACTTCCACTCCATTTTTATCCCAATTTATTTGCATTGTTAGCACCTTTAACATTTTCTATTTCATCCAAATCATATACAAGGTGCAGATAAAATGAAAAAGAGTCTTAACTCGTGTCCCAAATCTAATCAGGCCATTCTTGGGCCTTGGGCTGAAAGGCCCATCAATATGTGATTCGGTCCATTACTTCAACAAATGTGCATTGTTGGCATCTTTACAGCCATCACAAATCTATCACACAAATAACATTCTCATTTATCACATTAACACCAATTTTTGTTTGACCCAAATCATATAAATAAGGTGCAGATCATATGAAAAGGCAGTGGCGGAACCAGACCTTTATTTGAACCGGTGCTGAGAAAGGCGAGAAATATATGAAGAATTTTTTTGTCATACATGACAGTTTACATACTTTTTGCACACTCCTCCCAGTTTTCAGTGTATACAGACAATTCATAAATGTTCATAATTTCTCAAAATAAACACATAAGATTATCTAAATTCAAAGTATTAGAAAATTTTCCTTTTCAATGTATAAAGAAGTGTCAAAAAACTAAATGTTTACATCTAAATAGCGATCTAACTACTCCGGGAAATTCAACATGAGGTTGTTTTGCCCTCGGTCTTTATTTACGGTGCTTGAAGCCTCTCCAATCCGTATCAGGAATTTTAACATGTTTAACCTAACAAATTACACAACAATAAATTCATATGCTCTGTAATAATTAGCTTTTGGTTTATACTTGGTCACTAGATTCACTATTAAATTATAAGACAATTTAGTTAAGAAAATAAAAACACATTACACTTCACTAATACAATATATTTAAGGTACTAGGAGTACACTACGACACTATCTAATAAAAGAAATGACCACTTAGTTCACTTCAACAACAGATTACAAATTTCCAATTTACACAACTCACATAGAAATATATATTTATATAGAGTACAAAATAATACAGCAAAAGAAAACTACCTTTCCAGATGCGCAACCTTCATAGGTTCACCCTAAATGCGCAGCAGCGAAGCTCCAGCCGTCCACGCGTGAGGTGTCAAGCAATCTAGCACAGCGTCGGTGGTCCGGCATGGCGACACCTAAATTTCAGTCATCGGCTTTTGGGCAGAGCGGCCGATTGGCTAAATGAATAACCGAGGAGGGTTGAATCAAAGTAATTTTCTGATATTTATTTAACTGTTAAATATTGGAAGAGTGGGGTGTCGTTTTTTACATAGGTATGGTCGTTTTACTTATATTTTTCCTTTTTCAACTTACGCAAGCGATGTCGTTTTTGTTGAACTAAGTTTTTATTTTCAAAACCTCAGTTCGTATAGCAGAGCCGCAGTGCTAAGCACAGAGGAAGCCGGGGCGCCGGAAAGAATGAAAGGGGCGCCGGCAAAATCAATACATATATATACCTAGACTTTCCCGGCGAAGGGGGAGCGCCGGCACTGGCTCGCCCCCTAGTTCCCGGCTCGCCCCCTAGTTCCCGGCTCGCCCCCTAGTTCCGCCGCTGTGAAAAGGGGTTTAAACATTTAAAATGTGATATATTCACTTCTACAGCGTTATAGTGCACTTTTCTATTCAGGTAGCACGCTCTTAAATCTTTCATGCATGTTTAATTTGTAAAAAAGTTTGCTTATTTACAATATTGTCATTGCATGTTAAAAAAAAGGGGGTATATTGTAATACTTAAAGTGCAACGGAAATGATTATAAATGCATTTCACGCTTTTGACACATTAAAGAAGCATCTAGGAATCAAGAATTAAAATCTAACTAATTAAAATACATTATTTGACATGCAAAGAAGCATCTAGGAATCAAGAATTTAAAATCATTGAACTGCATACATACCTGTTAGACTATTCTTTGTTTAAGAGGCATATGAAAACAAATGAGGAATTTCAGAAACATGGCAATTTCTATGACAAACTAACAGAAGAAGCAAAACAAACAAACTATGACTGCCAAAAAGAGCCTTAGTCTCAAACCGCACCTGCAGTGTTGCTGTATTGTCTCTTTTAGAGTTGAAGTCTAAGTCTTTCATTAGTTTTCTCTCTTTTGACCTGTACCACAGAGCAACTTTAGATGATTACATTTTATCGGTCTACTAAATTCTACTTATAATCAAATTACAACTACTCAAATAAGTTTAAATCATAAAACAATCTATATCTATGACTAAAAACAATACGTTTTAGGAAAATTAATATAACAAAAGAATAAGAACTCAGAGGCTCCTAATATTAATTTAAAAACAGAAGCACACATCATTCAAACAAATAAAGAGTGTAAGAAGGTTTTAAAATGCAACCAATATAAAAATAGAGAGAAGTAAAATTGATATACAATTTGAAGAAAATCAATCTTAATCAAACATAGACTGTTCCGCATACCTCTCGTAATAGGCGTCCAGCTTCCGTTGTTTGTTGATGGAGATGCTTTGAGAACAATAGCAGACTAAATCTAGAGGGGGTAATTAGACAATTAGTTACGGAGTAATAAAATTAATCAATAAAATATGAACAATACTCATAGATGAGTGGCGGAGAATGAAGATGGCCCAGGAGAAGGGCACTGGGGCTGAATGCAGGGGCGTCGCACTCGGAGGCTGGAGTGGCATACTCACCGTCAAAGATGGACCTGGTCCGCCAGAGATGATGGAGCTGTTGAAGATGCAGAGTGCTTCCTCTGATCGAAAGGAAAGCGATTCGTTTGTGTGAGGGAGAGACATGAGAAAAAGATTTGGTTTCTCTGAGTGGAAAGAGTGATGAAAGAGAACGAAAGGCTTAGATTTAATTTAGGAGATCGTGCGGTTGAAATAGGGAGACGCTTGGCCGGGAAAATGAGTCTACCACAAAGTAGAGTAATTATGTAGGATGACTAGACTAGATTTTCACTCGTGCTTCTCGCACGAGATGCAGTAAGTATGTAATGAATAATTTGAGAATATAAAGAAATGTTATTAGCATCACAGGTGCACCCACTCTCAACTTTAGCTCATGGCTCGGCACACCAGAGCATTAATGGTATTGAGAAATTCTGGAGAGTGGATCTCTTGAAGCAGTGCACTGTCTGAGACAGAAGAAGATGTTGTCTCTAAGCCTAAGTATGTCTTTACCTCACCTGGAGTCAATCCCAACATGTAATCGTTGATCAAGTCGCGCTCATCAATGGTTGGCGCAAGAATTGCACTCGAATTCAAATAAGAAACTTCATTACAGTGCATTTCAAAATCAGGATAGATGCTCTTAACAATAGTTTCAATTGGATCATCTGTTATAAGAGCAATACATTCTTCAGGGATGTCAACCATTGGTTCTCTATCTCCACTAAACAATATTTATCTATCTCCTCATCGTCCATTTCATGTTGTACAAAAAAAAATTAGTCATATTAGGTATGTGATTTCCATAAAATTTACCTATTAAATCATAAAAAGTAAAAGTCCAAGCGAGATACTTTTAATTATTGACTATATCAAAACTCATGTATACCTGGATCATTCAACGTCTTTCTCATATTATATAATATATCTTCTGAGAAATATTGTACACATTTCTCCCACACCAAAGTGCGGATGTTATATGCGTCTGGGCGGGAAAATGGTGTATCTCCAAAGTATTGCAATTATGTAGAGTGATTATCCTATCTTTTCGCTTATAAATGATACTTGTACGGAGTATTTGTTTGTGTGTTTTGTAAACAAGTTAATCGAGTTGCAAATTGGTTGCATTGGTTTCCCACATTAAAGAGGCAACCCGATGTGATTTTTTTCAATATTCGACCTTACCCGACCCGTTCATGCATGGTTTGCCAATTTGTATTGTATACTACGGGTTGGTTAATAGCCAACCCGTACAAATTGGGTAGGCCCAAAAAATATAGCAAACCCGACCCAACTCGCCCGATGTGCAGCCCTAAATTGGCTGAAATACAAAGCAAAAATAACGACATCTAAGCGAAAATCGGGATTAGGAGGTTGTAAACGGGTCGTTAGGACTCTTCTGATTACTTTTTATAAGTAGACATATCTATATGACACTTTATTGAGTACATGACCTTATGTGATGATTTCGTAGTAATAAACTTTATTTGACCATTTTCTCTCTATGTATTAAAGAGTTGGAGAACTGGTATTTTTGAAAATACAAAAAAATACAAAGAATCAAGATGTTACCCAAAAAAATGCAAAAAAGCCCAGACTAAAGCATTTCAAACCCAATCATACCAATCCATGTAAACACATCCTCATAAGTAAACATTAAACTATGTTAGAGGGTATCCCAAATAGGGAACCCTTTCAAAAATTCTCTAAAGCTTGGGATGAACCTAAGCCAAAGAGGGGGTTTGGAAATAGTTTTCAACCAGCAATAGACGCGCCTCGGTTAATACCTCACTAGCTGCGTCATTGCCCCAAGCGCAAAGATGGTTGTAAATTGTGGCTAACTTATGTGATTATAAGATTTCATCGCTTGCTTGTTTGGTGATCAGCCGGTGGGGGAAAGAATACTCCCGTTTCCGTTTAATACTGCGTGAATTAATGATAACGTACTACTACCTCCGTCCCATTTATATTGGGACGGAAGAGGGTGACACGATTATTAAGAAAAGTGGGTTTGTGTGGTTGATATTAATTGATAAAGTAAGAATAAAGTAAGAATGATTTAGAGTCACACAAACTTTGCCAAATATGGTATGAGACAATTTAAGTGGGACTTCCCGAAAAGGTAAAACAGGACAATATAAATGGGACGGAAGGAGTATATCTGTTTGTCCAATAAACTTCGTTCAAGATTTCATCCCTTTAAACGGCTAATGTTTCTTCTACAATAAATTCATTCTTAGTTACTTATTTATATCTATTTAAGTGACTATATCTGGGGTTTTCCATGATCAAATTGAAGTTCATAAAAAAGTGATTATTTTACATACGTGTATGTGTATTTAAATAAATCTTTTCAAACATGATGTCACTGTCAGATCTTTATTTTACTAACAGAGCCCCTTTTAGTATTAAGGTTGATGATAAAAGAAGGGAGTATTATTCTAAAAAAAACTACCGAAAAGGAATTTCTTTTACAAGGAAAAGCTTTTACTGTGTAAATCACGACCACTACAAAATTAACATGGGATTGACAGAAATTTTGACAGGGATATGCCAAATGCATGCCAAATGCATGCCAAAAAAGTTCGGCATGGGTTATTTGGTACGAAATTATAGGTAAGTTCGTGTCAATCCCGTGAATTTTTTGTAGTGAATTTTGGTCATAAAGTGAAAATTTGAGTATAAGGTGCGCAAAATTCTCATTCAAGTTGAAAAGCACTATACTTGTATCTCTTATGACTAGAATCACAAATGACAAGATATCTGATATTTATCTATATTTAACAATAATTTATCTTTGTGAATATTATTTGCGGTCAAATATCTCCTTGTCAAGTGTCAACACCATACATGAATGGATAATGCTTAGTATACACACCATGTACACAAGTTGTACATGGTATAAAAGACAAAAAAAAACTCATTTCTCTGCTCCCTCTTTTCTCTCGGTTCTCTCTCCCTTCTCTCTTGCCCCTTCTATCACTTCATCCTCCTCTTTCCTTCTTCACCCTCTTTTCTCTACCTTTTTTATCAATTTTTTTTCATTATTTGCACAAATTAAGCTTATTCATCTTATTTCATCTATTTTTATTATTTTTATATTTTTTTCAAATTACATGTAAATTGATCACACATACAACTACATCATTCATTTGGATATATATAGATAATTAATTTTTTTTATCCCAGACAATTGAAATTGATCACACCGACAACTAAAGTTGATCACACAGACAACTACTGTATGTGGAACACACAACTATTGTCTGTGTGGTAAATATTTTCTGTGCACACAGAAAAATAATTATCTGTGCAACATGAAAATATTGTTTGTGCACACAGGCACTGCACATATATTGATTGATATGCAAGACGGTGTCAATGTCAGGCGGCTTTCATTGTACTTTTTAAAAAAAAAGTAAATGTCCGTGGACACAGACAAGAGTTGTATGTGTACACAGACAACTCTTCTGTGTCCACAGACAATTCTATACCAATTGTCTGTGACCGACATTTTGTGTACAAGTTGTGTACAACTTGTGTACCCCTAGCATTTCTGGATATACTGGATGCATGAGAGCCTCAAAAGTAGGAATTATTGAGCAAAATATTGTACAATAATTGCATCATCTATAGTAGAAACATTTATTATAGACAAGCTAAGTTATACTTCGTATAAAGCATAAAAATAGTATACCTTGTATAAGAAATCGAAAATTAAAAATTATGTAGTCTTTACAATCTTATAATCATGAATCAAGGTTAGGCCAATTTAGGTAGAAAAAAAAATGTTGGTGTAATCATGTTGCTTAATAGAGTTGTACATTAGGGTCTATCTTTTGTACTCTTTTACTAATATACTTGCCTTTCCGTTGGTTTCCATCTGTAATCGTCACCTTTGAGCTCGACTCTCATTATTTCCGTCTGTTTGACGTTAACGGGTTTTCTCCCGTACTGAACCGCCAATTGATTTATTTCGTCATGAATGGTTCCAGAATCCAGAGGGGCACCATTCTTTCTTGATATTCGAAGGCAACGCTAACTTGAGGATAATATAATTCCCCTCTTGAGGGGGCACTTATCGGAGAATAGATGCAGCAATCATAAGTAATCGCTCCAAGAGGACGCACATCTCCACGACACCTGGATGAATCGCTGCTCTGCCGCTGCTAGACCATTCCCCGCTCCGCCGCTCCTAGACGCCGCATGTCCTTCCTCGCTCCTACGACCGGCACGCAACTCCGCCACTCCTCTATTGTTTCCGCATCTCGTTCAGTTTCTCTATCTCCATCGCACAAGACATTTGGTTCATGCCATCTAGGTTAAATTTGTTTTTTTACAAATTAAATATTCATTTATTGTTACTTTTGGTGTTTGATTTATGTATATCGTTTGCTCACTGATGCCATTGCATTTTTTTTCAAGCATGAAAGATTTCATATCTATTTTTTTAGTTTTCTGATGTCTATTATTTGTTTGTAAAAAAGCTTCAAAAGGAATTTCACCAAAACTGGCGCTAATTATCAATCAGTGTAGGCGTCATCTATTTTGCCATCCAAATCATCATGAATTCAATAGATAATTAGATTTCACCTTGTGTGGCCGGTTTTATTAATGTGTTGTGCTATACCTGGGCATAATATAGGTTTCAAAACGATATGGCCTGGATATGAGTTCATTTCCAGCATTTTATAAGTGGTGCCATTCAAACTTAGGATGTTGGTTAATAAGTCGATTTTGATATTATTCCACTCTGCTCCCTTTTCCTGAAAACATTTGTTAGCACTCCCTATGGTTTTCTAAACCATAAGTTTGAATGACATCACTCTTAATTAGTATGGACAAAGTATCTTCCTCTTTTCGTAACTTGTACCTCATAATAACCACCTTTTCTCAACTACCCAACTTTAGAGTTCAGCAACCATGCTTTAGAAAACTTCTCACTCATTGTAATTTAAGCAACTTAAGTAACTTTCATATGTTCACTGCCTGCACCCCTGAACAGTTTACTCCCCTTATTTTGAATCTTACATTTGAGACTAAGTAGTAATGTATGTCCTATTCTTCTAGATCCTTTAATTTCCACATGTTAATTCCTCCCTCTATTTA